TCAACATCTCCATCAACATCTCCATCGCCGCTACCACCGTCGCCATCATCGGCACTACCACCTCATGCAATGCCAACGATACCTCGTGTCGCTGTAAGACCTAGTCCAGTCACGCATCTGGTTCAAGCGAATCATGGAGCCGCTTGGAAGATCACTGAGCCGTTGTTCGGCGCGGAACAACCGATGAACAACAGTGTGAGACCATACTTCGATTCGAAACACGTATCGGAGAACACTAGCATGATCAAGTCTAGCATATCATCATCTAAGATACCACCTCTATCGAATCATTATGTTACGCAACGGAATCTAGTTTTAAATCATAAGTCAAATCACGATGTAAATAGCGTACATAAGAGCTATAATAGCGGTACCGCGTTGAATCCGAACTCGGTGAACGCATGCATCAACAATAACAGCCCAATCGTCATTTCCAATTCCAACTCCATGCAAAACAAAATTACGATGCCGACGAATAACATGCCGACCAGTAGACCGATGAACAGGGTGCTGCCAATGCAGGCGGTGACGCTTAAGCAGGACCCGGCAAAGAAAGACGATTTGGCGATTGAAGAGCCGACGAAACCGATGATCAAGCCAGCCGAACCGGAAATTGTAGAGTCAAAGAAGGAAATCATTGAGCAGATCGTGCAATTAAAAAAACCTGAAACCGCACTCAGCAATATCAGTGACAATATTAAGCTGAATACAGAAACTATAGAGAAGGTAAAGGAGAATCTCAAACTGGAACTTGATAAGGAGAAGCTACAAAACACATCGTTGAAGATAGTGCTGCAGAAACAGTTACAGGACGGTTCTTACAAAATCACGCGCAACATGAAGGCAGTCACCCAGAGCAAAAAGACACCACAAGTAACATCTGTGGAGATATTACCGTCAAAACAGGTGCCTCAGATTGCGTCATTACAACTGTTGCCGATCAAAACGTTTACGCTCAAAGCGAACAAACTCGAGGATAAGGTGAAGCCTATGGAAGCGAAAGTGAACATACTTAAGGCAAAAGCGCCGCCCGTAGCTGTCAAGAAACCCAGAATAGTGACGAAATCAATCAGACCGCTGCGAAACAATCCGCAGCAGAATCCGCCGCAAATGCACAATTGCTCGAAAGGACCGATCTTAATGTATGAAATCAAGTCACAAGATGGCTTTACCCATATTGCCTCGTCTATGACCGAGGTTTGGGAGACGGTGTATCAGGCGGTACAGAATGCGCGCAAGGCTCACAACTTGTCTCCTCTGCCTCACAATCCGTTGTCCGAGGGTCTCGGTTTGGAGAATAATGCGGCTATCTACCTGATTGAACAATTGCCGGGTGTCAACAGATGCAGCAAGTATAAGCCCAAATTCCATACGTTGGAGCCGCCAAAACCCGACGAGATGGAAAATGAGTTACCGGCAGCGTGTGTCAACGGGGCGGCACGAGCAGAGCCTTTTAAAGGCAGGAAAGTACACGACATGTTCAGCTGGTTGGCGTCGCAGCATAGACCGCATCCTAATATAATTACAATATCGGAAACAGAGTCTAGGTAAAATTCATCACCACGCTTATACAACGTAAAGACAAAATTGCATGCTGTTTTTTTATAATTGTTTCTTGTAAATTAATTCGTGATTTCTGATATTTAATTATCAATATGAGTTTTAACGCTTTTATTTTAATGGTCTTGTGCATCATCGGTGTGATGTATTTAGATTTTTATATTTTAATAATCACATATCTTTTGATACACATTATATATTGAGTATAAGTTATACTTCTTTAGACTATAAATAAAATCTGTAATATGAAAAATAAACAAGTGCTATTATTAATAATTTATTTAATAAAGCGTTATGACGAATACTGTTACAGGCGAGCCGTAAGTACCAATTTGCCAATGGCAATGCGCTTTAGAATACTTAAGGAAACATCAAAAGCATCTGTTGGTGTATATTATTCCCATATACATGGTAGAGGATTGTTTTGTTTAAGAGATATCGAGCCTGGTGAGATGGTGATTGAATACGCCGGTGAAGTAAGTAGCAAACTATTCATATTCACATATTAGAAGATCACGGTACTTGTAATCGGTGTCGCTTAGAGATTCGCAGAGCAGTCGACAGGAGTTGATGTTGAGTATATTGATAGTAAATTCAATATGACAGCTACTATGAATTACTCCAGCCAATCAGAGAAATATATTGATTACGTGATACTTTGCGAATGTCTGTTACACTATAGGGATAGCTCTAATATCGTTATTATTATTATTATAATCATTAAACTTATTGATTATTATTAGGTTATTCGATCTTCTTTGACCGACAAAAGAGAAAAGTATTATGACAGCAAGAATATAGGCTGTTATATGTTTAAAATCGACGATCATCTAGTTGTTGATGCTACTATGAAGGGAAATGCAGCTAGATTTATCAATCATTCATGCGAGGTACAAGAGATTTCTTTTTCTTTATGTTTAAAAGAACAAAAATTTATCTAATATTACAAATTCACAAAAACTTTTATTATTATCTAATAATATTGTTTTATTTGTATATATATATATATATAAATGTTTTTAAATGTATAAAAATCTAATTATTTTAAATTGCACTTTCTATAATTTGATTATGTAATATATAATATATATAATTAAATATTACGTTAATATTATAATATTATAATCATCACGTTGAAATATGTATTATATGAAAATATGTATGTTATAGCCAAATTGTTACTCGCGAGTGGTGGACATATTAGGTAAGAAACACATACTGATTTTTGCTCTTCGTCGCATCATTCAAGGAGAGGAGTTGACATATGACTACAAATTCCCATTCGAGGATATCAAGATCCCGTGTACTTGCGGTTCTCGCAAATGTCGCAAATACCTCAACTGAGACTGCGTATATACAGCTTATCTTAAGCAGCCGACCGAAGACAAAGAAATAAAATATGTGCTATAATTGCGCGCGCGCTTTCGAATAGGATTCGTTTTATTGAATGTTATTCATTTTACTCATCATCAAACTATTTTCAGAGATTGCAGCTTTTTATTACTATAAAAGAACATAGATTATACATTTTAAAGATTAGAAGGCCAGACGTAATACGCGAAGCACAGCGATTACAATGATGTTACTTTAGACAGCTACGTTCCTGTAGTTGATTTAACGGGGGGTATATTTACACATATACCTATAGCAATAAACCATTCGAGTATCTCCTGCTTTTGTATCCGACAAAGTCGTGCGTTTTACTAACGCGCTTCAGACTTGTGAAAGTGTTATTTTATTCACGCCTGTGCTTTCTCGCACGACTTTTAGACTCTATGTATTATCTACTGTTGAGGCTTAAGTGTACAAGTTATCTTACACTTTACACTAAATGCGAGAGCTCCTTGTACGAGAGCGCATAATTCTTGCATGATATGGATCTCTCGATGCTTTGATCGGATTTGAAAATAAACTCTTTCCCTTAGACGAAATTATTTTGTATCATAAGGATTAAAATGGAAAATGATGCCGCTAGAGTACTTTGAAAAATTAGCGGATTTTCGACAATGATTGTAGCTTTTTAAAAGTCACTTATACATTTCTTTCAAATATCACAAGATAAAAATAACGTAAGCATAGTGTACAAAAGATCTTGTCAAGCGCGTGAACATAAAATGCGCAATAATTGTATATTTAGATGATTTGTAAATTTTAAATTTAGTGTACAGTGTATGACTAACTTCGTGACATTTCATGTCTGCTGTAGGGCCAGATTTCAAATGTTTTTGTAAAATATGTAATTGTTAGATTAGATATACCGTCTTTGATGTAAGTACAGCAAATCAGTTTTAACTTAAGTTAGGAATGTAGGTATTAAGGAGAGAGATAGAGAATGGCAAGCGAGAACAGTCTCCTATAGCAGGATATTGTTCGAAGGTATACCTACTTTGGCAGACATTGATACGATTTTGTTTTATTGTTCACGTGGCATCATTGATTAGAGGATATTTGCTTTCCAGAACTATTTATTCAATGTAAAAATGAATGGCGCGAGTTTGATATTATTTGTCCTCTCTTTTTCTTTTTGTACATTTTTTTTAAATATCGCGTCTATATTTGTGCTTCCACCTTGCCAAGATCATATTCATCGAGTTTATTATCCGAATTCTATTGTCTGAATTATACGAGACACGACATTTCGTTTGACGAGTATTGAATAGAAGCGTTAACGATTTTAATAATCTTTTTAAAAGAATTTTTTTTAATCGAAAAATCGGTTTGTTCGTCGGTCAAATCGACGAAGATTTATGCATTGTTTGGGATGAACGTCTCCGGATACGTTTCTCCGGCGAACGTTTGTGATATTTTCCCATAATGGGAAATATATTAGAGATGCTTTTATAGGAATATATATTTTACATTTTTACGGATATATATATACCATGTATTCCGTACCAATACCCTTCTGTGAAGTCCAGTTTTGCCTTACTTTTACATGTACCTACGCTTTCACCCGGTGATAGATTTAGATATATATATTTACGCAAATGATATTTTATATTCGAAACTAACACAACCGCAACGGCGCATGGCACTGCGCCCTCCGATACTACATCGTATTTTAGCGCGATTAATCAATTTCTGCCGAGGTGGTAGTCCCTTAAATTTTGGTGCTCCATGGACACCGTTAAGTGCACTTTTCATGAAAAAATGGCCTAGAGTAAGAGATAGTAAGGTTGCAGTGCGGAAGTGTTTGATAATAATAAGAAATGCGTTATACGAAGAATATTGATCGTGAATTATTTAAAGAGATAATATAAAGGGGTGAAATGGTGGCACACACATAGGAGCGCATTATTTGAGCACACGAATAATGTCAGACGTGCTGCGATTTTAATCGGCCTGGTTTGGTACAAAGCGCATATGCTGAGTTGTAAAAAGTTATAAAATCGCGGGAAAACGGAAACCTGTTCTGGTCACGTGAAATTGCCATCTTTTAGATATTTTGTGAATCTTTTTTTTTTTTTTTAATATTATAATTATCGATAATTAATGACTATTATATTCGAGGAGATGAATATTGTTAATATAATGATAATTAATTTTAATCTGTACATGAAAAGTAATACGACTAGTAAGGATGGTAACTTACTTGAAAATATAACAATGTTAGATATTTTATTGATATTTATTGATTATAAACGATATGGTATTAGGGTTGACGAAAAAGTACTAATGTAAACTGAACGATTTAGGACCGGTGCACATATATGGTAGTCACATTTATTAACGTGGATATAAGGATCAAATCCTTTTTTTTTTCCTAACAAACAAGCAATCGTGTATCTTTAATTCGATTACAATCTCCTGATTATTACGCTAGAATCGCTAATCGGACATCAGAATTCATTTGGGTTTTACAAGGTGTATTCTCTGTAGGCATACATACCATGTAACTCGATTTTTACATTGCTCTGTATTATGATTGTAAGCTGTAAGCTATCCATCATTGTCCGATTTCATTTCTACATTCGCGAATAGATTTAAATTTCTCAGTACAGCGTACTGAGAAATCCCCTTTTCATTATTTGTATCATCGACTTCTGTAAAGTACCCACGCGAGTACTTCAGCAAAAAGTATGGGACAGTTTAAACGTATGCTTGTAGCGGAAGATTAAAAGCGTATGTGTGAGAGAGAGAGAGTGTGTGTGAGAGAGAGAGAGAGAGAGAGAGCGATTTACTTATCTGCTAATAATTCTTACCTGATGAATTCGGACGAATATCTATCAGGTGCTTTCTGGAACATACTCTGTGTCTTTTTAAACTACTCTTTAAACTGCGTAAAAAGGGTGTACGACCCTCCTTAGTATTACGCATACAGCCTTCACTATGATTATGATTATGATTATGATTATTATTATTATCGCTATTAATTAATCTATACACACACAAAAAACGAGAAAGAGAAAGCATAATACATCACTACTCAAGTCACTCGTATTTGGGCATATTAAGCACCGTTTGTTTACTACACCCCATCAGCACCTTTCAAAAATAACGCTGCGTGTAAAAAAAATGACGAACATCCGAAGAAACGATACGATGAATAAACTGTTGAAGTAGTTTACCAATAATTAAAGGAAAAAAAAATGATACTAATGTATAGATGTAATAGGTAGATTGTTTCTCTCCGACTTTTACGCATGTTTTACCTCTCGACAGACAGATTCGCTTCGAAATCCGAACGGACGTCGCATTTCAGCGTTGCGTTTAAAATTGCGAGTGATTAAGTGATTTCGCGGAAACGTGACGAGCTCGCGGTGTGTATTACGGCGTTCTCGCGACGCGACGGTTTCGGCGCATCGTCACGCTAATTGCGATCTTTCACAACCGGAAATTTGGTCTCATTGCGCTCTTTAGATCTTTGCTTTTTTTTTCTTCTTGAGAAAAGGATAAGCTGATAATATTAAAATATTACAATTTAAGCAATTAGAAGAGGAAACGGGAGAAAAATTGAAATATAAAACGCTTCTTAAGACGTGTATAAACTTACTATTCTAACGTTTAAACAAAGTGTAGAATTTTGAAATATTGTACTTGTTTAAAAGAAAAGTAAGAGGGAAGATAAATAACAATTACTGACAAACTCGACGACGGTATGAAAGAGAAAAAGAAAAATTGAAAAAATTGTCTGTGATTATCAGTCATAATAATCTTTAGGTCGACATATTTTTTAGAGAATATTTTTTAGGAAATTACAAAATTTATGATATATCCCTATTATTGATATGATATTGGATCAGATCATGTGCTATACGCATAATAATATTAAAAGTGAAATTGAAAAAAAAAAATGAATGATGAACTGTAAAAGTTGCAAACTGTTTAAATAGAGTTACAAATAGTTGAGATTCGATGGCTGTTGTAAAATATTCAGTGTTTGGACAAATAATTATTAAAAAACTATTTATAACTAATATCGAAGTACGATAATATTATTATATCGCATATTACAGTAGCGTTTTTATCCCTTCTTGCGTTTGCATATATGACGGATATAGGTTGTAGAGAGAGAGAGAGGGGGGGGAGGGAGGGAGAAAGAGAGAGAGAATTTCGGTAAATGAGGCCCGACCATGGAAACCTGACTCGCGATTAAATGAACGAACGAGGAACGATATTATGAAAACGAAGGAATGGGGGGATGACGATAACGGGACGGACAGGGGGCATTTGCCACACGTTTTTTGCGTGTAAATTGTCGTTATCAATCCATCTACTTATCGTAGAAAACTTATGAAGTTTAATCGTAATATCTACATTAACCAGAAAAGGTACGCGTACCGCATAGAAAAAGAAACACATAGCTGCTTTCATCACAAGACACGTACTCGTACATACACACACACAAAACACACAGATATGCCCATGTTTTGTAATTAAATGTTTTGTTAGTATATATTATACGAGAAAATTAACAAAATAAAAACAGAAGTGGAAATATGAGAGAAACATGTGTGTATTTTACCATACGCGATGTATTCCTCTCTTTTGTGTTATAGTAATTTGTGTGTGTCTATGTTGTAGTAGATCGGTATCGTATGTACGGCACGATTACAGACTGATGCCTTGATATATCGTCTTCAAATACCGAGTTCGCATAAATTAAAAGAACATGAAAACGTGCATCATGCGAAATGTCAATTTCTCTTTAATGTAGAGGCCTTAATTTAATTCTCAGAATTCAACTCAAATCGAGGAAAATTGTATATATTATATTATAGTTAGAGTTACTCGAGTCTTAATTTATTATATTGAGGCTTCTTGGTATTCACGTTGCGGCAAAGTTTTCCGTTGTACACGTTTCTTTTAATGTATGCATATGTGTATATTTAAAAAAATTACTTTACATAATTTCTATTTTGTGCTTTGATTGGAACTCTTTTAAATGAAAAGTGAAATTATCAAAAAATATATTGGAATTCGGATTAAATATAATCATAACAAGAGAGGTCAGTGATCCGGTAGACTTCTGTGTAACAAAAGCAAACGATATAGGAAGACAATTCTGTCTGGCAACGTTTATTTTACAAAAGGAAGTATTTTACTTGAGGATTGAATCTTTTGTGCGGAAAGACACGCAGCGGAACGAGTAATAATAGAAACGCGTGCTCAACATCATCTCATATAATTACGTGTGAAATCCGCGGATTGTCAGGAGCGTCCCTTTCGCGTGCGAGATGGACGCATTTTCTCGATCACCTTTCCTGATTATTGCGGCAAAGCCTCAACAAAATCGGATGCATACGCAGTCTGGAAGGAACTCGTCAGTTCGTGTATCTCGTCAATCTCATCGGTATAGTTTCTATCGAAACATTACTTTACATCTAATGCGGCGAAGAACCAAAAGGATTCCACACAATCTTAATTATAAAGAGATCAATTCCTCTGTCAACTTTGCAAAATTTTTTATATGTGGTTGCTTTTGATGTTGATAAAAAATCTTAATGGATCCCAGAAAAGCTTAACTTTGCAGTTACTTTATGACTTGAATGTAATGGTAAGAATCATTAATCTATCTCTTTTATAGACTAGGCTTTTTTAGGTTTTGCTTTATCGAGAAGATACGAAGCTGGAAGGTGCAGAAAGACCTAAAAAATATATATACAAAAAAACACGATTCTGTAAAATATATAATTTTGAGCAATTTAGGACTCCGAAACCGTAAAAGTTGAGCTTTTCTGAGCTCATGCTTTTTTTGATCAGCATAATAAAAGCAATCAAAAATTTCACCAATTTGACAGAAATCAATTTCTTCATAAAAAGTGTACATTTACAAAAAAAATGCGTTCATTTAACTCCCGCTTCAATCCGAAAGATCTCTATTTCCATTAATACTAACAGCATACTGCAAGCAAATTGTAGACTTCGGTAGAAACCAGTAGATCAAATATCGCCGGACGCACACAATTAACGAGTGGTATTCATAGTGGTGTTCCATTCTGATTTTAAGACCGTCTTAAGACCTGTCTTAAGATACTAATGCAGCCCTCTGATTGGTCCATAACACCTTAAGACTGTACTTGAAGCGATCTTAAATGCAAGAATCGGCTGTGAATACCGGTTCAATCTTATCTCGCTTTGTCCCACGAGCGATGAGCGATGAGCGGCGCGCATTGCGTTTCGATCGACAACGCGTCGCACTGTCGTGTTGTAGGTCGTGTTTTATGCGTGTGAAAATTTTTCGCCTTGCACATGTCCGTACGTAGGTGCAATTACGTACACGCGTACGGTCGAGTCACGCGCAATGCGTCACGGACGGCGTAACGCGACCGGCTGCGCTTCTCTGAGGAAATACGCAGCGCATTTACGCGCGATGCGTCGACGCCGTCGTGCGGCGTGGTGAGCTTATTCATCGAGCGAGCAAATAAACGCACACGATCAAAGACGCAGGACATTCTGTTGGATGCGCGTTCCGCTTAATTCGACACGGTGCACCGTGTACGTATATCAAAATTGATCAAAATCTGCTGTTTGGAAAAAAAAATTTTATCGAAAATAACAATTCTCATATTTCTCATTTTGTACGGTTCGATCCAAAGACATGGAGCAATGTATTTTTTTTTATGTCGCAACCAAAGTGTTTAGTAAATGTATACATTTACTAGTCAAAATGTATAATAAATGTATATACCGATTACAGCTACAGTAAATGTATACATTTACTGAGTTAGCACTTTGACTGTGACATAGAAAAAAATACAATTGATCGATAAAAATGATAGAGATAGGACGTGAGAAGACAGGTCTCTGTCTCTTTCTATTCAACGATGTGATGTTGTTAGACAGAGAGGAAGATCGGCCGTCTTTACGCTCCCTTTCTCTTATTTTTATTGATCACTAAATAGTACATATATTAGATGTACTATTTATATACGGATGCGATCCATGTTATTCTATGTCTTTCCAAGGAACACACAAAAGTCAACGAAGAATCGAAATAAATCTGTTTTAATTCTTAACGTTAATAAGTCGAATTTTAATTAAAAATCATTTTGACTTTCAGAACGTCAAAATAAAGTCGTTTTGACTTTTCCTCGATTTAGTGTGTACCGTAGGTTTTATTTCCGTGCGGCAGCATCTGTTAGCGATAACGCTAGACGTTAACTTAGTTATAACATAACATTTCTTCTATGACAATTTTTTCAAATGTGTTAACTGGCTGTAAAACAGAAGGATTCTCGGAATTTTTTATCCTATAGTACACAGTTAATCGACAGACTTAAAAAATTTGTCGTACAACAAAAATGGGCTAACGTAATATTAACTTTATTCTGTTGAGGAAAACAAAGGAAAGATATATTTAAGAAACTTGTATGTACGAGACTTTGAATATGATCTTCAAATGAATTATTTAGCATGGCAAAAAATATATGAGTTTTTCATAAAAAAAATTAGACGACCATTTAAATGGCCATTTTCAATACCGTTGAATTGATGAAAATCTTTTGTTGTTTAATTCTTCACTAACGAGACAAAGATTTTCCTATTATATACGTATAAATATAAAGATGTATAAACAGCTCATTTATCAAGTTAAAAATATGAAAGAAAAAAAGAAATAAATCGGAAAATACACATTCAAAATCTTTCGATATGACTTTTATGAGTAAATTTTATGAGTACATAAAATTTTTAAGTACATACTTAAAAAATAAAAATTATTTGTTCTCTCGTTGCAAGCCAAACAATCAACCGTGAAATGTTAATTTATTTACTCGATTGCAATTTCGACGATTAATTTTTCTTTTTCATCCGCGCGTCAGACAATGATCGCAAGTGATGCAGTTGTTTCAATTTTCAGGTAACAACGCAGCATTTTGGCGTGCAGCGGCGTATGATAGAACATTCTGCATTTGTTTACAACGCAAATTACTTGCTTTGCTTACCGCGCGCGGTCGACATAACTCACCATGACGGATTCAATGGAACGCCCGTTAAAACAAATGTAGATTTGATGCGGCACGTTCGGTGGGATGTTCTGCATTCAGGCGTGATTTACTCTAAAGACCGTACGCGCTTTACGCATCCCGACGTGAAGCAGATCAGAAATAGCCGTTAAGCAACACGCGCGCGCGCATGCGACAAGAATGAAGGAAGAATTATATTTGATCGAGGAAAAGGAAATTTGGTATAAATCTGAAAAAAAGAAAAAGCAATTATTACATGTGGACAGACTACAGAAATTTCAAAAATTGACATTTTCAATTATTAAGCAGACGATCCAATATTAATTTGCGAGTTCAATATAGATATATCTATTGTCAATATGTTTAATATTTCTAATAATTTATAATCTATGGGCAGCGCAAGTTATAATAAAAATTACAATTAGTGGACTGCAGTGAAAAATCGGTGTTAGCTGGGTTGACAAAATCAATAAGAAAATAGTGACCAATGTTATATATACAGGGTGTGTCAAAAGTCTGGAAACGGTCGAATATCTTGAAAGCATTTTTGAGAAAAATGTTTCAGACAAAAATATACTATCTGAATGAAATTATTCTAAAATCAATGAAAATATATTTATCTATTATAAGCTTATTTTATAAAAAACACATTAATAGAAAATTTCTAATTTAAAAAATCTATTACCGCCTTTACGGTACAATATACAAAATAATATCTTATCGGTGAGTTTCTTTTAGAGCCATTCATTTTCTTTCATTTATTTAAAGTGGTTTAAGAAATCCTCAAAAATTTATGGATATCATTTCAAGCATCTAGAATAAATGTCCGACTTTTATTTTAAAAAGTAATAAAATGAATGAAGGAACTGAGAATCCGTTGAATATACGAGTAACTTGCACGAACAGAAATGGTCGGAATACACATAAAACATCCAGTACTGTACCGTAAGGGATTATTATTAGAAATATAAATACAATATATATTTATATTAAACAAATGTATTATGAGCAAACGGTGCATGTTTTAACATATATTTGTTTAATATAAATGCCGTCTAAAATTGCCTGCAGTATTTGCACGCACTGCAGCGTGTTTTAAAACCGAAATATATTAGTAAACATCAGGTCATGTCAGAAGATATTCGCACGTTACAACGAAAAACTGACATTTTGAAATATTCATTAATTTATTACGACATATTTACTGAGAGAATAAGTCCAAAGGAATCTACATTCACATACTGACATTTCTTATTTAGGTGTGTGTGGAGCTCTAGATTTACCTCCTGAAGCTTCGAGAGACAGATAAGAATAGATAAAGGTAAGAATCATCCCATGTGTATACCATGAATGGCAGTTGCCCGTACAATCGAGCTTTCAAAGTTGTACACACGAATTCTTTTAAAATTTTCCATTATTAATTTTCCTCTATTTCAAATTAAATTCAAAACTCCGAGTTTTTTAAATATATTCTCTTTTTTGCAATTCCAAGCTAATGTGAAAAGAGTCTTCAGCCTGATGCAATAGATTGAGAAGAGAAATAGACGGATTGTTGGACCATTGACGTTCAATATCATTTTAAACAATTTGATTAATAGCTGAACGTTTATTATACGATAAATCATTAAATTCATGAGTCTGCGAATTCTCGGTACGTTTGCAGCTTCCTCGATCTTTTCTCTCTCTCTCTCTCTCTCTCTCTCTCTCTCTCTCTACTTTTGTTAGTCTTGCATTAATTTTCGTCTTTCTGTATATGTTATCAGGGTTAATATGTATATATCTCTGAGGTTTTCCGCACGTGTGCATCTCACTCACGTAGACTAGATATTTTTTTTCTTTTCTTTTTTTTTTCTTTATATTTAATTCTTATTATTACTTTTACTTTTTTATTTTTCATTTTTCTAGCATTTTCGAATCTTATTTCAATTATCTCATATTATGTACTGTTGTCTTTGCGCTTGAGGGGACCTTTCGTAGAGCGAATAATAAATGCTTTCTCTCTCTCTCTCTATTCATTTAGCTATTTATCTTTTTCTGAATCTGGCAACCGATAGTCGGAACCGTCGAAATTACGCGACGACTAGTGCGCCAAGGAACGCGCGCGTATACATACATACACACACACACACGCGCGCGCGCGCGCACGCATCCCACGTCTCTTGCCCTCACTTTTGCCGCGCGAATGCGATCCTTGCTCGTTCTTACGTCACGACTCTGTTCCCTTCGCGCTCGACGCGGATCTTGCTCGAAAGCGCGCCAGCCGCACGTTCGTAAACGCATGCATATATACGCGCGCGCGCACGCATTTGTTTCCGCGGAACAGTGAATAACCTCTCCCAGCAATTCTCACATACGCGCGCGCGCGCGCGTGCGTACATATGCATTAAATGAGCGCGCTCGGAAATCAGACTTTAACCCCTTCCCTCTCGGCTGTGCGCGGCCGACGGCCGTTCCCACCTCGCCCTTCCATCGCGTTATTCCCGCCGTCGCCGTCGCGCCCCGCTGCGCGTTTTCTCCGACGATTTCAAGAAAGCTATACACTGTACAGTTCTCCTTTCTGTCGTCCTGCCCGTCGTCCATCCCTCCTCCACTCCTCGGCTTGGACTCCATCGTCGCGTGGTTCGCCTCGGCAACCGAGAGTCCGCGTGTGTTTCCCCTTCTTCGACGATGACTCTCGCCAGTCTCGCCCGCCTTCCTCTCCTGTTCACTGTTCACTCACCCTTCGTCTCTCCCACAATGGTCACAATGCATTCGTGTGTTCAGGAACGTGACTACGGATGCTTGTTCTCCGAGAGGATTTTTTGCGGTACAGCGGTTCTCTCGTTCAGTTTCAGATATGAAAATAATGCTACTGTTATGTGGCTGACATATTTTAGGTCGATATTCCTAAGCTTCTTCCTAGCTGATGGCTTCTGCCTCCATAGAGCGTGCGGAGACAATACGGCAATATTCCTAAGTAAAAATCACAAAGTTGTATTATCAGCATCTCAAGGTATTACTTGAGATCTTAAAATAAGAATTGACTATCGTCTCGGTATATTTAAAGTTAATTCTTATATTTAACATTGTCTTAAGTACAGTCTTAAGTACAGCCTTAATCGAAGGACTGTATTAGCATCTTAAGAAAAATACTTAAGACACAACATCGGTTTTCATAAAAGTTTTTAAAGTCGTTTATGAGATTTTCTTCTCTCATCGCTACACAAAAGTAACGGAAGATATTTACATACGTGCAGGTGCCAAACGTAGCAAGAGAACACTTGGTATGATTACGGTGATTATCAGTCCTTTGTTGTAATGGGCTTTCCATAATAAGTGTGTTACCTAAGTTTTAAGTCGAGCTGTAAGAAATTGACCAATCATAGTAGATTATCTTCTCATATTCGACTGGGTAATGGCTTATTGTAGAAAATCCATAAAGTACAGCTCTTATTAATAGATAGCTGTCCTTTTAGATTTATTTGCTTTTTTCTCAAAGCTTTCAATCTTCTCCTCTTTAATTAGCATTCCAATAATGTCTAAAATACCAGTGATTCAACTTTTACGGAAATTTTCTGCATTTTTTTGCAAGAGCAATAGAACAACAGTCACAATAACATCATACACGTCATGATTGATTGAAAAGTGAGTTTTAATAATCAAAATTTCAAAGTACAGCTATATATTTGACGTCATTTTGATGTTATGATGACTTGTGTTT